ATCTAATGTTATTTCTTCTTTGTGCAGGTGACCCTGCACACAGGACTGGAGGTGCCACAATCTGTAAAACAGCCCAAGTTGCCCAACAACTAATGAAGCCCCCGTCTGACACTGTGCTGGATTCTGTAAGCTTTCTCAGTGTGTTTTGGCACTTTTCAGTAAGGCAGTAAAAAAGCATCCTCTTCCCTGACTTAAAACACTGTGCAGCATGCTGCTCACCGAATAATTGGCTGGTTAGAGCTAGGCCACTCCATTTTCAATTTAACAGCCATAGCAAGCACATCCACTGGACTGGCACTCGACTGCAGATGGGTACCTGAACATATCTACTCTGCGTTGCATACGTATGTACACTCATGTGCACACACACACACACGAACACATCTGTAAAGCAAAAGGTTAAATGAGTGTATTTTCTCTCTCATGGCTGGATTTGTGCTTAAATATTAGGGATGCTGGAAAAAAATGGGTGAGGATGAAGGACAATGGATGTTGGAGCAGTTTACCAGTATACGAAGTGGATTCCCTCGCCACCTGAAGTCCTTAAATAAAGAAAGCATATGTTTTGACAGCTGAAGCAAAGGTTATATGCTCAAGAATTCCTGGTTGTTAATTACATTCAGGGGCTCAAATAACCATGAATTATTCCTTCTGGCTCTAGGCTGCAGTAAGCTATAGGATAATGTCCCCATAGAATTCAGTGGCAGAACTTATTATCTGCAATGAGAACAAGATTGGTTCCCAAACGCTGCCATGAAATAGCTGGGCTCATTAGCTAACACCATGATACAGGCAGAATTCAGATACAGAAAGTCAAAAGAAAAACATCCTTGATGCATTTTAGTGTTTGTTATTTAGATGTGACTATGGAAACACTTACAGAAGATCTGATTGTGATTATCAGCACAACTCTTGAAATACAGTGCATGGGAGATTCTTTGAACTGAAGTGATAAGAGATCTATTTAAATGTGGCACATGCAAAGTCTCCCCCATTGAGAAATGCTGCTTTCCAGCCTTGATCCTGATAAAACCTGTGCAGCTGTAGTTCCAATGTAGCTTTGAGATCTGAAGCCTTAATTTTCTATTAGATTACTGTGAGCTAATTAATGTCTTGGTCCTAATGAAACACTTGAGAGAGATTAATAGCAGTAATGCAGAACCTGTCCCTAAGAATTTTTTTGGATTGGGACATAAATCTTTTGCAAGACTCAACCTGTGCCTGGCATCTCCCACGAAAACGAGCAGCAATTTCAGGTGCTGCCCATGACAAATGGAGTCTGACTGACAGTGATCTTTTCTCACAGCCGTGGCACTGTCACCTGCATGCAATTGTCAGACAAGCAAACATTGGTTTGCCTGTGTGCTTCATTTCCTCTGAACCCAGTTAACATGTGCAGGTGTGTGTGTGTATAGTGGCAATGCGTGAGGATGAGATGCAGCAGACTTGGTGAGCCCATGACATCTTGGACTCCTGTCACTCTAACCCCATAGAAGCGTGGTGCTATCAAACAAGAAAAGCATAACCTCTCAAATCCTGTCAATGTACTTACTATTTCCTTTTTTAAAATCCTGCTGCTTATACAAGCTTTCCTCTTCAAGCATACATATACGCACACACATATTGTTATCAGGCATGTAATTATTAAACCTGAAAACAAATATTCTAACCAAAATCCAGCTTACTGCTTTGCATTAAAGCACAGCCACAGGACAAACAGCCCAGGCCTGCATTCAGGCAGCCTGCCAGCCCCCAGATACCCTACTGCAGGCCCACTTCTGATCTCTGTCTGGAGCACATCACTCAGGTAGTGCTGAGTGATGGCAGGGCTCCCCTGTGGCAAAGCAGCCAGAATCCTCCCGTGGGTCATCCCACCTCACAGCCCTTGTGGGAAGGGAAAGGCAGCCCAGAACAGAACTGGGCCATTGCACAGACACAAAGCAGTCTGCCATCCTGCTGCCTGTAACCAACCAAGCATCCCGTAGCCCACCTCTCCTGTGGAACAGCAGCGCACCTTCAGCAACGTCAAGACTGAAACGGGAAATAAAACCAACGATGGAAAAAAATAACATATGCTTTTAAGTGAGGAAGCAACAGTACTTCCTTTGAAGTCTGGAATGGATTGTATTAGTAAACTTGTAGACAATGGAATAACTGTGCTATGCTAATCTTGGTTTTGTAAAGACTGTCAGAGACCAACTGTGTTATAACCTTCGGTTTCATTCAATACCATACGAACTCATGCAAGATTTTCTAATTAGCAGGTCTGTTTTAACCTACCTCAGCTAGAACGCTACCAGACCCCAAATTTCCTCTTGAGTGTGCTCTTCTATCAACCTAACAGTTGCAATCATAGCATTGGCTTTGAGTATTGCCAGTCAGAGTAGTGTATGGGAATATTGTATATAAATTGCACATAGTTTTTTATATCGGGAAACATCCTGTGATAATTTTAATATAGAAGGCACTCCACTTTCACTTGTATTATAAAAGACAGGGCATCATTTGTTTTGGGACAGAACCCTTGTCTTTACTCCCAAACTTCTGTAAAGGAAACTCAAATGAATTTACATCTTTCCAATCTTCAACCATTGTCAGATGTTTAAAATTAATTCTGAATGGGTTTTAGAAGTGTTTGCAGTACTCAGTTTTTGTTTTTATAGTTGCTTTGGTGTTGGTTCCTGGTGTATTATACTTGGGAAGAACACATTGAGTGACATGTTAATTTCTAATGAATTTGTGGACAGTAGGTAGGAACAGTGAGTAGAGAAGCTCAGATTTTACCCTCTATGCACTCTAACATTCACAAAAGTAGGGTAGCTACCATTATAGTCCTTTTAAACCTAGCAGAAATGCAAATAAGTTAAAAGGAATACAGTTAGAAGTAGGCTGCCTGCATTAGTAAGGCTACTTTACCCTAGGTCAAAAACTTAACAAAGTGTTTGCATGTGTTGGTTGTGTACACAATCAAGGATTTACATTTGGCATGGCCTGTAGCAATAAACCAGTCATCCTCATACAGTGCACTCTAGTGACTTCAGCTGGATACATTTTCATAGTTTGATTAACAGAAATAATGCTTAAGTAATTAAAATTACTCTAGGAAGCTAACAACTCCACACATGAATATTTCTGCAGAGCATGCAGGGGCCATCTGAACACAAAGCAGGGCAGAATTGTCCCTTTGCAGAATAGCATTAGGTAGGGAAAGGTGGGGCACTCTCATCCTGCCTCTGCTCTGGCTGGAGGTAGTTTCCTTCTCTGCAGGTAACTTCCCTAAGGTTCATCTCATTATAAACCCAGCAGTTTGCACATTCTTTATCTATAATGTCCCTTATGCCAGTTTTTGTTTCCTCCAAATCCTTTCTTTACGAGGGAGCCAGCCTTTAGTCGCCACAGAAACTGCGTTGCTGAGTGTCCAGGGAGAACCCAGAGAGCACAAGAGCAGCACAGATACCCAAGGGGACCACTTTGAGTGCTCTTCCCTTTGATCTCTCAGAGATCTCTTCTGCAGCTCTCTGGGGCTCCAAGCTCCTCTGGCACCTGGGCCCACACAAAGCTGCCTGTGATAGGACTCTTCAGCTCCTAGAGTCCAGGTTGCTTCTTACAAGAAGCAGGAGAGCAAAGCCTTTGCACTGGGATAAATCCAATCCACTATGGTACAGAGCCCACACAAGGTAGCCATAAACTGACTTGATGTTTAAACAAAGCCACCAGAACACAAATAGGCCCTCCCCTTATTAACAAAACAAAGCTTGACTTCTGCACACACCAGTATGGAACCTCTGAACAGCTGCAAAATAAATACAGCAGCTGAACTTTCTGTCCTGCAGAGCAACAAAGGGTTCTGTTTTCACCTCCCCTGGGAGTCCCAGCCTTTACCTGCTGTAAACCTCCTGCCTCTTTCCTCTGCAATTTCCATTAAGTACAGGAGCACTGTCAGACTTCCCAAGACATGCAATGCTATACAAATTCCACTTCCTTCTTTTCCCTCATCAATTTGAAAAGAGCTCACAAGATGTCTTAGTATGACTTAATGTCAATATAAGCACACATGTAGCTGACAATCCCTTGCTCCTTCTGCTGTGGAAAGGTATGTGCTATAAAATAAATCTCAGTGAGGACAGTAGCATACTGTGATGCGTTACAAATTTGGAAAGCAATTTGGCTTCTAAAAACATAGAAAAGATAGGCAAACAGCACTGTCACCTCCCATACTTGCCTATGCACTTAAAATACATAGAGGAAAATATATTGGACTGAACAAAATAAATAAGCATGAGCTTACATTTATCAGAGTTTAAAAGTATTAAATGTAATTTATTATATGCATAACGTTCCATCATGTTGTAAATAATGCCATGATAGTGTATTGCTGTAGTTTGTTCTTGGCTGGTGATAGAGTTCTGTGGTAGTGCTGTGCAAGTTGTTTTTTATTTCACTTTTTTTCCTCAAAGCAGCATAGTTAGCAAAGATGGCAGAGAGCACCCCATACTCTGGTTTCCCAGTTGTTCTAGAGCAAGAAGAAATGTGAGATGCAGCTTTGCTTTTTGTTTTTGTTTTTTTTCTTTCTTACATGATAGTATGTCTTAAGGTAAGGGAGATGAGATTAAGGCTAAGCTGCCATCACCATTGTATGAAAAAATACTGTGCTTGCAACTGACAAGAAGAGGTAGTGCATTTCTGGACCACAATTCAGATCACCTGTCCCTGTGAGAAGGGAGCAGAACTCCACAACCTGGGAACAGCAGCTTTCTGGTGCCATCTAGTACATCCTTTGGTCACAAACAGTAAGATGAAGAAGGAGAGTTGTTAAGACCTTATCTCAGGCCTTACCAGCTTTGCAGCATTCTGCTTGAATAGCAAAACCAAGAATTCAATTTTGAACCAGGCAAGGTAATATGAAAACACCAAGCATCTTGGCTAGATCAACTTTGGAAGGGATATTGCAGTTACAAATCAACCACATTGCACATGTAAAGGGCACTTGTCACTGAAAATTACCAGGCAAAGATAGAGAGTTCTTTTATTTGAATTTTTTTTTTTTTTTAAAGAAAAAAGAGTGAGCTGCTTCTAGTTTTTACTGACAACATTTCTGGTGGTTCCTCTGCCCAGCTCTACTGCACACACAGCCAGCTGGAGCAGCAGCCTGAAGCACAAATCCATCATTAATAGGACACACTTGGTCTTCTCAGGTGCAGAAGCCCATATGCAAACCTCAGAGACTAGATGTGTGGGGCTCCTGCATCTTTGCACAATACAGGAGACAGATGTGTGTTTCACTGACAGAGGCACTCAGCAGCATTTTCCCCTTCTGTTAAACAACCTCTTTGTTACATTTGTTATTGCAAACAGTTCCAAGCAGAATTAATTTAAAAATTATTTTTTATGCTAATTGGAGAATTTCTAACATTTTCTTGTGAAGCAGTAGATAGAAATATTCCTGGATCCTGATTGCATTCCTTTATCCTCCACCTCCCTTAAATGTTGTCAATAAAAACACTAACCTTCCTAGGTAGCATGGTGAGAAGACATTATGTGATGAATATTAAAAATAAATGCATGAGGTAAACCTGCTGTTATTTCTGATTGTTATATGAAGCATGAGTAACACTAATTTAAATGTTGGCAACTAAAAAAACTGCAAAGGAATAAGAAAATGGTATTCCATTCCAGTTAAATGAAAGACAAGAAGTTGTTTCTATGTTTTCTTAACTACAACATTTTTTTTCTTTACTGTCATTTCCCATAGCTTATATGAATTTCGAGCTGGTGAAATATACATCTCTGCTATATGTGTCTGTCACCAGATCAAGAGGAAAATACAAACTTTTTATAATTTTGTACCTGTAGCAAACGTTTGTATTTTTTGAATTAGAAACAAACTGCTTTTTGTCTTTTGGTCCAACTAAAACTTTGTGTATTATTACTATTATTACCCTTTTTGAGAACCTGACATATAAGTTTATGCTGTTTTACAGTTTCTAAATAAATTCTTATAACATTGCCAACAAATCCAGCATCAGTGCCCTATTTATTATTACAAATTATGATTACAAAATATTATGCCATTACGTTGATGAGGCATTCATACAGTTTGCATGCCTATCTCCTATTGTTAATACTGCTTTCTTACCACAGTCAAGAATAATCCAGTAAATGGAGAAAGCAAAGAGTGTCCCTCCTCAGAGCAACCATCTGTGCCTCAAATTCAGACATACCCCGATTCAGTGGCATGAAACACCTCTCTTTCTCAGCACCACTCCACTAGCTCTGGCTCATGTTGGTTATAGAACACCTGGGATACACCTTAGACACTTTGGGAAATCACCCCGTCTCCAGAAGTTTCTAAGACTGGAATAAGCAGAGGCTGTAAAGAACCATAGCACCAGTAGGTTCTCATTGGAAAGCCCCTTGGGTAAAAGACTGGGCAGAGAAAGCTTGTCAGGGCAGGGAAGACACAGACTTTGTGAGATGGTCTGAAATGACAGATAGCCTTGGAGCTGCACACCCCTCTCAAGCAGATGGGAGCAGAGGGACTCAACAGTGCTTCAGAGGCAGCACACCCAGCCCCTGCAGAGAGGTTCTCACAGAGCTACACAACCTTCACACGTGTCTGTCAGTAAGGCAGAACAAAGCATTCTGACACAGCGACAGCAGTGCCAGGCAAAGAAACAGGAACCCAGCCAACACAGTCAGGAGAAAGTACAGACTACAGTGTGGAGACACCATTAATCACAGCCTTTCTTTTTACCTCCTGCAAAAAACACAACTTGTCATCAACTCCTTCAAGGTAAAGGGTTTGACTGGGAAAAAAAGATAATCTCATGTGGTTTAACACATAGGGAAACAGGGAATAAAGATAACTGCAGTAGGAAAAGGCGTGAGAAAGAGAGCAGATAAGGAGAAATCCTTGAATTCTTCCTTCATACCTCATTCCTCTATGCAACTGCAGAGGGAAAATAAGATGTGCCCTGCTCTCCTCTTTACATAATCAATGTTTTTCAGTTAATACTGGCTTTCATGTATCAGCACATGCTCCAAAACCAACACAGCTTGCTGTTGGTATACTTGCATACTCTCTGTCACCAACACACACCAGCCTGAAGAAACAGTAGGTGCAACAGGTTCTCAACAGTCTCGTTTGCCAGTGTTGTTGATGCATCTAGTAACAAAACAGGACTGAAAGTACCGTGTTCACCTGAGCACAGCATTCCAAAAGAATGTAGCGTGCCCAGCTCAAAATGCCTTGGAGACATAATATGAAAAATTTCCATGTAACAGAAGCCTTACATAGATCATACACACATTAAACAAGTGTGAAAATGCAAAACTTTGAATAAACTTTTCATTTCCGTCCCCCAAAAACTTTCACGTTCCACTGTCAACCTGACATTTCTATTTTCAACATTTTAGTTTAAGAACTCATTTTTTTCAACTTTTTATAGATCTTACAAGCTCGACTGCAAAAAATACACTCCATTCTGACCAAGTTTCACTCCCAAAAAGCTTTTGGGAGCTGTGGAGGTGGAAAGTGAACATTTTAACTTACTGAAGCTGATGGAGAACATGAAGTCTCATACTATATGCAGAGTGAACTGAACAAAACTTTATCAAGAAGTGAGCAGTAAAAACTAAACCCAAGGATTAACCAGGAGCTGCAAAATACAGGTTATCCTACAACATCCAAAGCCCATCTGTTGCCTCAACAAGTCTTGATGCTCTGTACTAAATTCTTCTTAGTGGTTACACCTTAACACGCCATCATGATTTGACATTTCTCTAATGTCAAATAAGTCATTAAGTCTGTAACCAGACAGGAATCTTAATTCCAGTTTGAATTTGCAACCAATACTGAGTAAGAAGAAATCAAATTATGCAATTATGAAATGTGATAACAGCATTTAGCAACCAAACTCTGCACACCCCTTCTCTTCCTACATAGCTCCAGAAACACCCCCTTCTGCTTTTTATCTGGTTCAGAGTGAGTAAAATATTGCTTTTTCTATATTCTTTCCATATGAAATTAAAGCTATATATATATATATATTAATCCATTAATTTATTAATCAAACTAGTATTTTACTTACAGCAAAGAAGCCGATTCGACAAAACCAGTAAAAATAAAAATAGCCCTTATAACCTTCTTAATAAGAACTCTGCTTTTTATTTATAAAATGGTAAATTCTAATATTCATCCCAAGGCAGAATGGTACACAAAAATCCTGCAACAACAAATAAGATTAAAATATTAGGATATGGTGGACAGGCAAAAGGCCCCAGAAGTCTGTGTTGGTAGCAATGTGAATTCTCTTATGCATATTGTCCATTTCACTCTGTATCATGAAGTTCATTTGCTAACTTTAGATGATTTAATTTTCTTTATGTCACGGCTTTGCAGAATCAAGGTCCCATTTCTGAATTTTCCAACCTGTCCTGCAGGCCAAATGCTAGGCACTGATTTCTTCCTTTTGGCCTTCCTGAAACCGGGAGAGGAAAAACAGTAATTAAAATAAACAGCAGAAACACACGTAAACGCTTAATATGGTGGAAAAGTCATCTATTTATGCAGAGTTAGGTATTATGGAGCATCAAACCATAGCATGTAAGGACTTCAGAATGTTTTTCCTTCATAGACATGCAAAATTTCCAGCACTACAGCATGATTTACATTTTTAAATGTTTAGAAACGCAAAGGTTTTTGGATAGAGAAGGAAGACAGAGTATAGAGGGAACCTGCTGCAGTAGAATTAGAAAATGTCAGCTCACTTTCAAGCCTCTGTAGCCTGTGCTTTGCAGAAATTATTCCTTGGGGCAAATGCTCTGAGCAAGTGGTGTCTCATGAGTCTGCACACAGGGATTTTCATCCCTCTGACCTCCAGCTTACGGAGTCTTAAGGACTCTGCAGTCTTAAGACGTGTTGGAGCAGAACTGACATACTTTCAAGTAGAGATGTGGAACTGAAGCCTCTGGAACTGCTAGGCACAGAGCAGTGTCACCATTTTTTGAGGAGCTCAGCACTTGGAAAATTTTGTTGCACTGTAACCTCCATGATTTCAGGAGTAAGACTGTGCAATTACATAGGGGAGGTACACTGGGGAGACCATGTTAAAATCACCTCACCTCTCCTTCTGCTCTTTCTGCTTCTTCTTCTTCTTCAGAGAATCACCTTTATGCTCCTGTTTTTAAAGACACATATTTTAACCACCTGCACAAATAACACACAGTAAATACCCTTTGCTTCACAGAGCAGCAGGCACTTAAGCTGGGAGACCTGACAGAACAAGTGATGCAACACATTATGGAGCCACTGCCAGGAGTGCCGAGCCCTTCCTAACACCTTATGGAAAGTACAGCCCACTCACGACCAACGTGCTGTCCTTGCCACGTGCAGAAGAAGAGGCTTCCTTCTTGGGCATGTGACAGATCCCAGGGTCAGAAGAGGGACTTGCTACCAGGCAGGTGTGTCCTGTCACCCAGCTGAGGGCAGCTGTCAAATAACAGGGTACAGCTGTGACTGGTCATGCACTGGATGCACTTTGAGCCATATGCCAGAGGAGGAGAAGTAGGTCCCTGAGACAGAAGGTGGCAGGAAACCAGCTGATAGAGTAATTACTGGCCCCACCAGCCTGCTCCCACCTACGTGAGAAGGCTCCATAGGGAGGCAGAGAGTAGGCTTAGAGCCAGATGGGCTGTGCTAGAGGATGGATGCAACAGAAGCCTCACCCTTGCTTTAAATAATGAGTAAGATCCTAGATGGAATTGTGCTGATAAAAATGCAGTTGAAGATCTGGCTCTCTGTGGTTAGACTACTTGCAACAACTTTAATTGGGGACCACTTTGTTTCCTCTTAAGAGGAAAGTATAAAAAAAAGCCCTGCTGATTTTGTGTCACCAGTCTATCAGCCTGGAAGGGTGAGGCAGTGAAACTGACCACAACACAAGCCTAACTCTGTGCCTTCATACTGCACACAACCAGCTTTTACCAGTGAGATTAATCCTGTGGGAGCCAGGAGCCCAAACCACAGGGAGCAGCAGGTGTCAAGCTCAGGCACTCCTCCTGCACCTGAGGCATTATCTCTCAGGCTCTTGGGCTGGCTCCCACACATGCCTTTTATACAGAAAATTTCACACAAACCTTTTCCTTATTAGCATCCTTCGCTGCTTTTTTCTCTTTCAGTTTCTCTTGGTAAGTCCTGTAGTTCACACATGCCTTTTTGGGGGGCTGAAACAAAGATTGGGAGGGATACTGCTGATTCAGTTTTCAGATAGGTTCAAAAATTATTCACACACTTGCACAGAGTGCACTATTTTTCACATGGTGGTGGCAAAACATCAAAAATGCTTATTTCCTTTTGGGGGAGAGGAATGGACTTAAGAGCCATTAGGTAGTCACAAATTGTATCTTTCTTGGTAAAGACAGCAGAGAGAGACAATAATGTTCTGTTATCAGTTCTATAACGTTTACACACACACTCTAAGCAAAAAAAAAAACAACCCACTATCTAAAAAACACCTAAACCACTATTTTTTTCTTTTACACTAGTTATGAAAAAATAAAAACTTTTCTCCATCTTTAACTCACTGTGAGAATGAAGTTTTAAAAAGTGAGCCCCTGTTTCCAACTATTTATTTTTGAATGGCCTGATAAAAAATTAGTAAATATTGTTTTTCAGCCTGATTGGTCATATTTCATCTATACTACTTCCCTGGTAACACAACCATACTAATTTTCTAATCATCTACAGAAAACAGGTAAGACAGAACAAATGATAAAAGTAAAGATGAAGTGAGAGAAGTGTCAGGGCAGGGGATTTTGTGTTTTAAAAGAGTAATACCAAAGCCCCTCATGTTCTTCACTGCTTTTCTGCATTGTAGCAACTGGGGGACCTCCAGCACAAACCAAGGTACAATTACCTTGGCGCCCAGCATGATAGCGCGCTCCCGTTCCCAAGCACGTTGCTCTTGCTTCTTGTAGCCAGTGATTCCAAACTTGTGCACTTCCAGGCGAGCCTAGAACGTCAGAGAAAATGCATTTCATAATGTTCAGCTTGTAAAGTAATGCCTGGCAGAGTGCAACAAAGTCATACTCCTGAGGAAATCCTGGCTAATACTGGAAATCGGAGTGCTTTAAAATAAAATTGAGTTCTGAGCTATACTGCAGAGCAGTTAATGCTGTCCAGCTAATCTCTGGATGGTGAGGACTGTTAGTGGGAAAATTTTCAATTCTCCTAATTTCACATAATATGGATCTCCTCCATGTAAAAAATGAGCACTTAACCACTGAGAAACATGGATGGTGGTTTGACTACACACATATGCAGAGTTAACACTACAAGCATACCTTGGCACAAAACCACTAATGAATCCTTTAACCACTAATGATCTTTTTAAAATCAATGATTAAATCCCCACCCTTCTTAGCAGTTCAGAGTGCCATGCAGAATCTCCAGTGAGAGATTTCATTGGATCATAGCACATCCCTGAGCAGAGATTAGGCACACAAAACAGCTTGCATAGATCTGTAAACAAATTAGTAGCTAAAGGTGACCAATGCTGGTTATCCTCATGTAAGAACAGATTAGAATCAAAAGACAAATGGAAAAAGCTATTTGTTGTTTCAAAAACAGATGCCAATACACCTTTTTTCCTTCCCACATGAGATGTCAGAGATTTAACAACATAGGGCTGAAAGAACTATGCTAAACATTATGGGAACTGAAGCACCTTTACACATCCCCCTCAAATTCTCATTGGAAGACCAGAAGGAAAGGCCATGAAGTTGTAGCACACCTCTCTCCACACTGGGAAGTTGACTGTTGCCAGCCTGCTCCTCCTTTGGCATGGCATGTAGCCAGAATTACCAATTAGGAAATCCTCACCTACAAGAGACAGCCATTTCTGGAAGGGTTTACACACACACACACACGTAACTGCACACTAAACTAGTGACATCAGTCTGATTCTACTGACTTACCTTTTCAAAGTTAAATTCTTGTCTGACTGCATTTTTCTCTTCATTCACTATTTGGGTCTACAAACAGAACAAAATATTTCAAATCAATAGGACAAGTAACACCAGTTTAAATGCTGATTGGGATAGCTTTTTGAAAAGCACTGAAATGTAAAGTCAGTTATATGGAATAATACACAGGTTTCCAGCAGTATTTTTTTCTAGCTTTATTACCCGGATCTATTAAGAGAGACAGTTTCAATGGCAGTTTTCTAGGTAAGTATAACAAAAACTGCCACATGTGAGCTATGCATCACTCACATTTCCATTTCCAAACCCATACCAAACAGCTAGTGTAGGATAGGACATGAATTTCAAGTCTTTTTTTTTCAGACAGTGCAGCGGTAATAGCACATGCACTCATAGCTGGGGCCACACACAGAACAAGCTTAATTCCCAACTGCATGGACATATATTAGTGTCCATATCCAGCTCCACTATTGCCAAAGAAACAGCTCCAAAGGGTGCACTGTCAGCAGAAGGCAGAACCCACTTAGTGCAGGCTGAAGAAAGTACTTGCTCAAAATGAGCCCAGTGAGAACGACATCTTTTCTACTCCACGAGTACACAGAGACTTTTCATCAGCAGTTCTCAGTTTGGAGGGGGACTCTCCAGGGGGAACATACTATATCCTAGAAAGAAAACGAAACACAGAGTCTCCAGAGAGAGAGTTCCATGCTTGCCCGTTACAGGAGTGTCCCACATGGGACACTGTGGAGCAGTTACAAATCTCCCAAGGTTATTTTAGACTGTCTCCTCTCTGATTTCAGGGAGGATGTGCTGAGCCACCACTCTGAGTGGAATCTCTGCCCACTCCCAAGCAAACTGCCATCTGTTCAAGAGATTACCCTGTTCACCTTCCCTGTTTCCTCCCAAGGGTACATTCCACTCAGAGGAAACAGGAATACTACATAAGCATTAAAGCTTAACTGAAATACTTTTCATGCATTTCCTTTTCACTCTCCAGGACCTCAGGGCACAGTGAGTCAGGTTCAGGCCCAAGGGTTACACCAGGGCTTCCCTCTGCATCCACCACGGCCAAACTCCTCTCAGCTCTGCCAAGGCTTCTATATAGAATTGCAATTTCAACCACAAATAAACCCAGTTACCTTCAGAGCATTTTGCTAACAAGCCTAACACCGGTATTTTCAGGTAGAAAACCTTCAGCTATAAAAAACTTAAGAACATTTTTAGAGGAAAACATGCTGGAAAAAGCACAAAAGTTTATGGATTCAAACAACTGCTTGAGTCTCTTGAGGTTCCCAATTCCAAGCAATCAAACCCCCAAGATAAGTAAGTCCCTCTGAATTCCAGACAGCCGTCTGTTAGCTCATCAAAGCTTATTTTAGATTTGGCTTCTGAAGTTACAGAGACAACTCAAGGAAAACAACCAGAGAAGCTATAAAATCTAGAGACCAATCAACCCTTCTGCTCAGCTTCCAGCAAAACCTATCCAGGCCTCCCTGTTGAAGCAACAGCTAGGGGTTTTGGTAGTGCAAAACTGCACTGCAAAGCAGTTCAGCAGCGACAAACCAAACTAGAGGACTGAGACCTAAAGCTGTCACGCCTTCCCCCACTGACTACCCAACACCAATCCTCCGAGACAAATGCTGCTTGTCAACAGCCCAGGACAGCACACAAAACTCCTGGGCACTAAAGTAACCAAGAGGCTTTGCTTTCCATTTCTTTCACTTCTTGCCGTAACATCACGCCTGCCGGCAAATCCATCTATTTTGCTGGAATGCGCATATTTCAAATACAGGATTCTTATCCAGAGATCTTCGGAAATTGAAAAAAATGGTCTTCGAGTCCTGCCCTCTCCCCTGCTTCATCCTGCCCCTGCTTCCAGCAGCCCAGCTGGAACTCAGCAGGAACAGATGCCGTCGAGCTGAGCACGGGGATGGCCAAAGCATCCGGATTTCCAGGCAGCGGCATCAGCAAGAGGGACCGACCCGGGCACGGCAGGGCTGGGGCCGGCGCCGCGTCCAGGGAGCGCATCCCGCCCCACGGGCAAGGCTCCTTCCCTTGGGGCAGGGGCGGCTCGGGGGCAGCG